CAGTAGGCTGAGTAGGGCAATCTCTCATGCTGGGAAGACTTATTCGGGTCTCTTGAGATGCGCTTCAGTAATTGGTAATTGTCACGAGAGGAACCACTGAAACGAATGTGTGTGATTTATATGGCTGATGAAGATGATTGATTGCTGCAGTTGATTTAGTTATTTACTGACGAAAAACTTTTTAGACACTAATGTACTTTAGTTCTCGGGCGATATGATGAATTTCAATTGGGCTTTGTAAATGCTTGTTTAGGGCAAGATTACTGTACATTACATTAATATGACACTAAATATAACCTGAGAAATCGGTTTGTGATTAGTCTAAGAATGTATAATTAATTTTAAGGGTAGTAAGTCAGATAGAAGGTTTCGGCGGTTGAAGATAGATTATTTCGTCATACTTTTATTTACGAGCTGTACAGCCTAGTCACATCGCGAGGAAATCGATCTTGATACTAAACACGATTTTTTTTATACCAAAGATTAATAACAGATGTTGTTGGATGTAATTCTGATGTTATTAAGAAATTCCCATTGGATATTAACTTGATTGTTATTATGTTCTCCAAGGATACACTAAATATTTCTCCCTACATCACTTCACACGTTACCCCCTTCAGCGAAAACGAGATCATTATCCGCGACCTTAGGAGGACTTACGACAGCTGTGGAGCCCCACATCAGGCTGACATGCTTACATAGCTCGAACAAGACCCCAACGGCGGTATAGGTGGAAGAGGTGACCACCATGGGAACCCAACGACTACACCGGTGGACGAAGACAATGCATGATGGACAGGCTATTAAGGCGAAACCCAACGACTGGGGAGAGGGAGAGTTGCAATGGACTGCCGATAGCCCCTCTCCCCAGTCGTTGCAACACTTGCACCACTGGATCAGGAAAAGGGAGAGCCAAGATGTGTAGTTGCAGCCTGCGCTCCTGCCTCAGCACATAAATCAACTCACGCACAGCCATCATCCAGCTCATCATACCTCTCATCATTATCAAAACCCTTATACTCCCAAAAGTCCTATGGCGACGGACGAGTGGCGATGGGGACAGGCAGAGATGACTGCCGGGAGTCTCTAGTCACAACTCTGCACAGGGCGGCACAGATAAGATGGTCGTTTATGCACTGGGACGAGGGTCAACTCACAGAACAGGGGTCTGGCTGTACCTACTTCTGGAGGGGTAAGCCTGCTGCGGAGAGAAACCGCATTTATGGAGTTGGCTTTGCCATCCGACAACTGGTCCTACACAGGCTAACTGAAATGCCTATTGGGATCAACGAGCGCCTCATGACGCTCCGAGTCCCACTGAATCACTCACGTCATGCCTTTTTTCATCAGTGCATACGCCCCAACACAGAATGCAGATGATGGCATCAAGGAAGCCTCTTACGCTGATCTCGACAGAGTGCTAATCTCTATCCCCAGAGAAGATAAGGTTATGCTCCTTGGTGACTTCAGTGCCAGAGTTGGTAGAGATACTGACATTTGGCAGGGAATCATAGGGAGAAATGAACACGGCAAGTGTAACCCCAACGGCCTACTCCTCCTCAGCAGGTGTGTTGCACACAACCTCACTATCACCAATACCTTGTTTAGGCAGGCTGACACGGTCAAGGGTCTGTGGCAACACCCACGATCCAAACACTGGCATCTCATTGACTACATTATTGTCAGAGAAAGAGATCGCCGAGATGTCCTCATCACCCTTGCCATGCGTGGCTCAGACCACTGTGACACTGATCATCGGCTCGTCAGTGCCAAACTTACTTCACGTCGCCTCAAAACTGCAACAAGCCTCCAGAAGAGGTTTTAACACTAAGCATCTGGAGGATCCAGCGGAAACACATGCTTTCAGAGAGCAGCTCGAACATGGGCTGATAAACAACCCAACAATGAACAACCAAAATCCCAGTGCCGAATGGGATATTCTTAACACTGTCATAACAAAAACTTGCAGAGACCCTCGGTCATATCTAAGGAATACACCAGGATTGGTTTGATGAAAATGACCCGGCAATCAATGTACTCATCAATGATAAACATGCTGCTTTAACTGACTGGCAGAGCAACCCTCAGTCTCGGACCAAAGCTGATACCTTCTGCAAGAAGAAAGCTGTGGCCCAGTGGGAACTTTGCAATCTAAAGAATGACTGGTTTAAAAACAAAGCATGTGAAACACAAAAATTTGTAGATCAGCACAAGATGCTTGAATTTTTCAATTCCACTAAAACATTTTATGGGCCAATCACTCATGGAGCAGCCCCCCTTCCGCTCATCCGAAGGTAACTCCATAATTAAAGACGATGAAGACTTCCTTCAGCGCTGGAAAGAGCACTACCATTCACTACTCAACCGAAACACTGATGTGGATGTCCTGACTATCCAGCAGGTCCGTCAGCATCCAGAGCTGACCCATCTCAGCTATCCTCCATCCCTGGATGAGGTAGCTACTACCATCAAGCAAATGAAAAATAACAAAGCCTCAGGGCCTGATGGAATCCCAGCCGAGGTGTATAAAGCAAGAGGACCTCTGCTTACCAGCCGTCTCCACTCTCTCCTGGAGAATATAATTATGGGAAAAGGAGGAAATTCCCCAAGCTCTTAAAGATGCCTCCATCATCAATATTCATAAGAATAAGGGAGACCGGTCAGACTGTAGCAACTACAGGCAGGATCTCTTTGCTCTCAATAGCTGGCAAGATTTTTGCCCGAGTCCTCCAAAACAGACTTCCTGAGGTGGAAAACTTCCTCCCAGAATCTCAATGAGGCCTTGGAAGTTTAGACCATCACATGGCACCACTGACATGATCTTTGCTGCCCGCCAGATACAGGAAAAGTGCAGAGAACACTGCCGTGACCTGTACATGGCTTTCATCGACCTAACCAAGGCCTTCGACTCGGTCAGCAGGGAAACCCTCTGCTGGACCCTCGGCCGTTTTGGTTACCCCCCAAAAATTCATCACCATTGTGAGGCAACTCCACGATGGCATGAACGGGAATGTCCTGCGTAATGGCACTCAGTCTGAGTTCTTCCCCATCCAAACCGTGGTTAAACAAGGGTGTGTACTGGCACCAACTCTCTTTTCCATTTTCTTGGCTGCCTTCCTTACTCGTGCCAGTGCCAATTTAGCCGGCGGGGTGGACATCGAGTACCGGGTGAAGGGTCTTTTCAAAATAAGACGACTCAAGGCCGGAACAGAGGTGTCAGCAGCTTCCATTACTGAACTTCAGTATGCAGACGACCTCACTTCTGTTGCTCACACTGAACGCGACCTACAGGAGATCCTGAACACCTACGCAGAAGCATATGCACACTTCGGCCTTGAGGTGAAGGTACATAAGACTCAGATTCTCTTTCAACGTGCCCCTGGTTCAGCCACACCTCCACCATCCATCCAGCTTAACGGTACTACCCTCTCTAATGTTACCCACTTTCGGTATCTCGGCTCCCATCTGTCCACCACCGCAGACATCGATGAAGAGATTCAGCATCGGATCACATGTGCATCTCAAGCCTTTGGCAGACCCTGAAACCGTGTCTTCAGCTGTAGGGAGCTGAAATTATCTACAAAGTTGCACGTATATCGAGCAGCGGTCCTCCCCACCCTGTTATATGGCAGTGAGACATGGGTTACATATGGGAGGCACCTCAGGGCACTTGAAAACTTTCACCAACGTTGTCTACATTCCATCCTCCGAATTCGCTGGGAAGACAAAAGAACAAATGCCAGTATTCTTCCTAACACCAACTGTAGGGGCATCGAGGCTACCATTATACTGTACATGAACAACTACGCTGTACTGGCCATGTTACCCGCATGGACGACAGTAGACTGCCAAAGCAGCTACTTTACAGTCACCTAACGAATAGTAAATGTAAAGTCGGCGGGAAACTGAGAAGGTATAAGGATAGTCTTAAGACAAACCTGAAAAAGTGCCAAATCGACCCCCTCACCTGGGAGTCGATTACTCCATATCGTAATGCTTGGAAGATTACCATACGAGAAGGTGTCAATACTTTCGAGTTAGCCCGACTGCAAACCGAGGCAAACAAGCGCCAACGCCGGAGACACCCTGCCACCTCCCTCACTCGATGTAGCCTCCACAGGTGGAACATCTGTGAACAACCCTGCCGGTCCCGTATCGGCCTCTTTAGTCACTTCAAAACTCACCAATGAAGGTGACATCCCTAATAACTCATATCATTGTATCATAGCTGGATGATCGTCATATTCGATTCCGTGTGACAGGAAAGTAGTAGTAGGTCGATATCTACTGTATGGTTAAGTTTAATATGGAACGAAAGATTTTGTCAGGTCTTAAGTTATCGTTCAAGAAATATAACTAGGGGAATATTTTAAATGTTTATATTAATTAGACTTGTATTGTGGTTAGCTATATCTTTAAAATATTAATATACCGAGAGTACATATATTTTAACACCAGCAAATAAATTATAACGTCCCATCACAACATATTATTGGTGTCACTGCGTGTGTGTGTGTGTGTGTGTGTGTGTGTGTGTGTGTGTGTGTGTGTGTGTGTGTGTGTGTGTGTGTGTGTGTGTGTTCGGCTTTCGTTTGAGAAGACGAAAGTTTTTTTCTTCTTCTACTTACGGAAGTAAAGGCTCTCTGTATAGGGATCATACTTTTAAAGTTTAGACCACGTTTGTTGAGAACTGTCCTCATCCATAAAGCGACGATGCCAATCCCCTGAATTAGTAAATTTATTGTGATGTTAGTCATTCATGTACGATTTTCAACCCCTTGAGTACAATGATGTTGACCTATTTCATTAAAAAGTATGATGATAGTGTAATGAAGTTAAATCATCGTATACGAGTGGCTTGGCTATACGTTTTTGTTTGGCTTGTTCAATTAGTCTTTATCAGTCTCCACTTTATTAGAGATGTGAATTAGCTTCCATATTAGACTGTTGGATTTCGCTGTTCAAAGGTAATAATGTGTTTTTTTTTTTTTTCTTTCCAGGTTGATGTTGTGACGTCATGGTTGAAGGAAGACGGGGGAGCGTGGTGGTCTCCCAAAACAAACTCCTCCTCCTCTTCTTCCTACTCCTGGCCCTCTCAACCTCTCCCGTCTCGGCCCAGCAGCAACAGCAGGGTATGTATTGTTTTAAATGTTGTTTATATTGTAAATTTTAACGTCACGGTGTTGACATTGATATTGGAAACTATGACTTATGTACATAAAGCAGAGGTGGTTTAATGGTCATCATCCTCGCCTTGCAAGCGAGCGAACGCGAGTTCGATTCTCGGGCAGGGTGAAACTTTGGGCAAGTTTCTTTAGGCCATTTGCCTCAGCCTACCCAGTAAGTAATTGGGAACCTGGATGTTTGTCGATTTGCGGATCGTATTCCAGAGTAATGGTTAGCCAGTGCATTTGGCGAGTTGTCCTTAAACAAATTCACGTCTTGGTGGCCCTTGGGCCGGCCATCCTCGTTACACGAGGGGCAACCATTATTTTATATTTCAGGGGAGGGGACTGTGATATTTCAGGGGAGTAGGCTATGATATTTCAGGGTAATCAACCCCCAAAAATAATGAACGCTGTAATAAATAAGTTAAATATGTCTGAATTTAACTCTCGGGATTTGAAGGTAATTCATCCCCCGACTCTCTCTCTCTCTGCTAGAAAAATATCAAATATTCTTTCGTTTTGTTTCCAGAACAAGGGCGGTTCTTCCGAGGAATATTCTCCTTGCCTGAGCAGTGTTTCCACAATGGCGTCCAGGCTTCCTGTACCTTCGTCCTCTCCTGTCTTATGCGAGGAGGTGAGTATCACATCACCAAGATAAAATAAGCTAACTCTTACGTACATTATGAGACTTAAGATTGGGGTGGTATTAACCTACAAGAAATTTTGTAAAGCAATCTTAGCTTTCGATCTCGGTATATTATAAGTGATTTGGTTTCATCGTTATCCTCAAACTCATCATGATTGGCAATTGCTAAAATTGAGCTTTATCTTTAGTCATTACCAGTTGGTCAACGATCATCAGTCAATTGCTATTATTTGTGATAATGCCATTGACAACTACAGTACAGTATCTCATCATTAGGCAACTTTATTTAATGACTATAATCATTGTCGTCATTCTTTTTTATATATTTTTTTATGTCACCATTCCTCATAAACACCGATTTTCTATAACAATAAGACTTTATTTCCTTCCCCAGATACACCCGTCAATAAGTGTGGCGGAAGCTTTATCTACACTTGCTGTTTACCCACCATCGCCACAGTGAGGTCAGATGCTGTCAGACACATCAACCTATTCAATAGAGATCCTCCTCCTGTTGTCAACAATCCTCGTGAGTATTTGTTCTCTATTTTAGCATTATCATATTTTCTTCAAAATACTTAAATAATGGGTATATTTTTTATTTAAAATTTGTATGTTCTAATATTGAGCATGTTTTAATGGGGGAACCTTAGCATTCCCATTTAAAGTAATAACAATTTATGATGCTTCGGAAATTGGGTAGGATTTGACAACATTGAAGTTCCTTAAATGTCATTTATTTTCTAATGCTTTACTTAATTCTTTTGCAGGTATAATTTTTGTACATCAAATTACTCAACATTTTTATTCAGGCAATACACATTAAGGTCTGTTTTTATTTTCTTAAGTAATGAAAACGTTCTTCTGACAACTATCTCGATCTTCATAGACCTGTTTTAACATCAACACACACACACACACACACACACACACATATATATATATATATATATATATATATATATATATATATATATATATATATATATATATATACAGACTATAGTCTCACTATATTACACGAAATATATATATACCTATATACAGTGATTTATGCATATATATATATATATATATATATATATATATATATATATATATATATATATATATATATATATATATATATATATATATATATATATAGGACTACTGTATATACAGTAAACCACATATTAAGTGGTAGACGAATGAGTATTACGACGAGGGAAATAAAGAAATGTAATAATTCCTGATGACTTGAAAGCACTTGATAACACATTGGTAGTAGTGTACAACCACCCAAGACATATTGAATACTTGACTAACTGAGAATTGACTGATAACTGTGTATAATTCCATCCACAAAGATCAAGACTGAAGATCACTAGCGCTTTATCATAACTTAACCTCACCTAACAAGCCTAGCCAGACTTATTTGATATTTTTTTCTCTCTCTAACCATTATGCATACAATTATAGTAAAATTATTTTGTAACTCACCTGACGTACTGTAACTCTTCCATCAATATCGAAGCACTTAATCTAAGTCTGGGAACTGAGGATACTGTATAGCCTTAGCAAGCATATGCACCTGTACTCTTAAGATATGATTTGTTATAACCATACAGGGTATAGCTCACCCATCTACCTCACCAAGTCCACCTCGCACCTCACCAGTCCACCTCACACCTTACCAGTCCACCTCGCACCTCACCACGTCCACCTCACACCACACCTAGTCCATTTCACACCTCACCAGTCCACTTCACACCTCACCACGTCACCAGTCCACCTCACACCTCACCTAGTCCATTTCACACCTCACCAGTCCACTTCACACCTCACCATGTCCACCTCACACCTGCACCTCACACCACAAGTCCTTGCTGACACACATAATATATTTGACTTGAATGGAAAGAAAACACTAAATTCATCCTCTACTCCGCATGACAGGCACCAAGCACGGCATATATTAAGTTGCACATTTTATATTATGTACTTATAAGAAATTCCCTTCTCACACCATGTATTTTATTTACTTCTTAAGCTCTTGAAACTTCTCCCGTTAATATAGTTCTTTGACATCGAGATGCTTATGTTTAACTGAATTAACAAATTTAAACTGAGAAAGAGAAAATCATTTGAGTGAGACAATGAAGATAGTTACACTAAGATTAATGCATGACAAACAGTTGGGAGACGATGACTCGTGTAATTCCCTAACAAACTTGTGGGGTCAATCCAGGAGCTTCGTACACGATACCAGCTGGGAGTATTGTGGTGAACAGTAACACCTCACTGTGTCTAGGAATTACACAAGTCTTTCTATCCAGACTGTCACGAAATGAAAATCCAGGAACAATCTTTTATACTATATTTACTTTTGGGAAATTAAAAAAAAAATTCCATCTTCATAGATGATTCTGACTTTTAGACATACAATACTGGGCTGATAAGTCTTACTTTAGAGTTCAGTTGTATGGAATTCAAATACTATACTATAATAGTACTAAATTCTTCAACAATGAATATTAATAATAAATTTTCAAAGTTACCAAACTTTAATACAAACATTAATAACCTGTTATTGAGTCTCCACAGCACAAAATAGCAAATTCAAGAATTAGTGAATCAACGTGGTTTTAAAACCTATAGGTCTACATTTTAGAAGCCTGGTGTGAATGCCTTTGATGTAATCAAGTTTATTGTAACTTCCCAGACATGAAGAAACATTTATTTAATATAATTTGTGCCGAGATCGTATCATTGAAGGGTCATTAGTCGTTGGATGGTAAAATATAGTATAATTTATGCATAGATTGCTGGATAAATGGACAGTGACAAATATACAGTAAAATTATTAGTCGCAAGAACTCTGTGTTATTATTATACACAGGGTTATCAAAATAGAATACCCAGATTTTAAATGGTTATGTAGTATTAAAGTCTGAGCACTCTTTTTCGATGACCCTGTATTTCTGGGTTTAATGACAACGGCCCCTAGGCACATGTACTGTAAGTTCGAAATTCTGTGCTTTAGTAACTTGGGTTTATAAGCACGTACACTAAGTCACTTTATCCACTAGACAATAGCTGTCAACAAATAAAGGACATAACCACATAAGACTATCTTCACATGACATTCTATGACTCGAATTTGTTACATTTGACTTTACAAAAGCCTCGGATGTACTTCAGACGAACATTTAAACCCTTATAACTGGCAGCAAGGTGTGAGCTGTGCCCTGACTGCTCCCTGATGTAAGTGGGTAAAATGGGGAGGGAGGACTGACTGGTAACCTGCTTGTGCCCTGTTTACAGTTGCTCGGCTACGACTGCCGTTTCGTCGTCAGAGACCTTATTATCCCCCGAGACACTGGAGCCCTAACAGACTCCCAGGTAAAGTCTCTTCCTGCTCCCTGTCCTGTATGTCTCTCTCTGTATAATTGTTAGGTATTATTTTCTTGTAGCACCGTTCATTCCTACCACTAATCTATTATCATATTCGAATAAGACGTCTAATTATAAGATAATTTTCATCTATTACATTACCGGCGGAAATGTATAATAACGGAGATAGCTTTTCCAAATAAATTTATATTTTCTTCCATTATTTCCCGCCATTATCGTCTCACGTCTCCTTCATAAATCATGACACGCATGCGTACCCATACACGATATGCGGCCAATCAAAAGCGTTTTTGCTAATTCAGAGTAGTTGTACCCCGCCTAACGCGGTTTCACTTAACGCGTTTTTTCATATACGCGGTGCCTCGCCAGAAGCGAACTTTCACTTAACACGGATTTTTTCCACATATACGCGGTGAGTGTCCGGCTCGAGACGCTATTTTTAGATTTGCCCCACGCGCCACCCACCCGCCCGCCTGCCTGCCTGTGCTCGCCTTTTCCTCCTCCTCCCTCCGCTTGGGCAAGCCGCGCGGTAAGGTTGCACAGTGTGTGTCTTTGTTGCGTTATCACTGACGTCATATGACGTATCGGACTGTGATTGGCCATGCATCCCTACCCCTCTCTGCTGCTAGCTGTAATTGGCTTAAAGTATTATGACGTGCCCACCCGGGGGAGGGAGGGAGGGAGGGAGGGAGGAAAGACGACGCTTGACCTAGCCGCGGCAGTTTCATCCCTCCAGGCCACTCCGTGTAAACGCGCATCCATTGTTCCGTAAAATGGCTACCGCCGGACCACCACCGCTACCAGAGAGAGACCTTTCCTTACCTGGACCCAGCGGCACTAAGCCAAAGAAGACACAACGTTCCTTAAGCTACGAGGTGAAGTACCAGATCATTCAAGATTTGGAGAAAGGAACACGGCAAGTTGATCTCGCGCGCCAGCATGGCGTCAACGAATCTACGATTCGCACTATCAAGAAGGATGCAGCCAAGATCAAAGAGTACATGAAAATCACAAAGTCTGCAGGTGCTTCATCTATCAGGTATTGCCAGAACAGGGTGCTGGCAAAAGTGGAAAAATTTGCTGGTGAGTTACTTGATTCGTCAGGCGCGACGCAACATGGCGGTGGACACGCGCTCAGTGCAGGAGTACGCACGTGAGCTATACGCAGCAGTGTCACGTAAGCTGGGAATAGCAGAGCCCAAACCCTTCAATGCTTCCTCTGGTTGGCTGCATAGGTTTAAGAAGAGGAACAAGATCACCAACATCAACATTGGTGGTGAGGAAGCGAGTGCTGACCGTGTGGCGGCTAGAGATTTTCCTCCGTTCTTACGTGAGATTATGGAGGAAGGACAGTACACCGACGACCAGGTGTTTAACATGGACGAATCTGGTCTTTTCTGGAAAAAGCTACCGTCCAAGACCTTTGTTGTAAAGAATGCCAGCAAGATTCGGGGCCGGAAGATGCAGAAGGAACGCATCACCGTCCTGTTTACCACCAATGCCTCCGGTACCTGTAAACCAAAGTTATCGGTGATTCACACAGCCCGCAAGCCGCACGCCTACAAGAATATGGACATGAACAAGCTTAATGTCCACTGGCTAACCGCACGTAAGGCGTGGATGTCCTCTTCTCTGTCCCTCTTCTGGTTTGACAACTGTTTTGTTCCTGACGTGAAGAAATTCTGCGAGCAACAGAATGTTCCATTCAACATTTTGTTGCTCCTTGACAACGCACCTGGACACTCGCCCCTACTTGTGGATCGTCACCCCAACGTAAAAGTGGTCTTCCTTCCTCCCAACACTACGTCATTAATCCAGCCCATGGACCAGGAGTTGATTTGCAATGTGAAAGCTGCGTACTCTGCAAAGAAGTTCAAGCTCCTGAACGACTGTACCAACACCAAGGATGAGTTGCGTATGCTGGGTGACACCGACAGCGAGAGTAAAAATGACAAGGACAAGGAACAAGAGGTGGCGGCTCAAGAACTTCTCGTCAAACAATTTTGGAAGAAGTTTAACGTCAAACAAGCTGTAGACTTCTTGGTGGAGGCATGGGATCTGCTGACTATTGCTACGATTCGTCACGCATGGAGACATGTGTTGCATGGCATACCAGGTGAGAGGAGGAGTGAACCTGTGACTGGTGAGGTTCAGACTGTTGCAGTAGCAGTGGACCTTGCCAGAGTTGCCAACTTAGCGACTTTGTAGCTAGATCTAGAGCTTTTTGTTTTTTTCTAGCGACATTTTAGAGCGATTTGCGACTTGTCGCAAATCTAGAGATATCCACAGAAATCTAGCGACTTTCTGGATACTTTTGGACTGTCCATGAAAACAGTTTTCCTAATTTCGAGCCATAATATATAGCAACGGGGTTACAGGGACAATAAATAATAAGAACAGTTTAATACATTTGAACGGGTCGTGGTACAGAAGGAGGGACACGTCTATTTCCTGATCACTTGATGTCAGCCCGTCCATGGCTAATGTTGCCGTGTCGTCACTTATTTGTCTATTACCTTCGCCTTTGTAGCACCTGGGTAACTTACCTCTTTGTCAGATATGCAATATGAATTTCATTAATACGCTCAATTTTAAAGAATATTAGCAAAACATCTTATAGAATTAATTCTATCAAGCCTGCGTGGTTCCAAACTTCTCATCCGCGTCCACCATGGGTGACCCATAGACTCCATACAGTTGCCCCGACACTGTTCACCCGCTTTGCCAAAAACCATCAAGGAAAGTTTCCGCTTGTTTGCATGCTGTTTATTAATTTGAACCCTTCATAGTCCCAATAGAAAATGGGTAAGCCACAGTATTCGCAGCGATTTAGGAAGGAATGGCTCAGAGATGACAGATACAAAAATTGGCTTCTGGAGGTGCCAGGAGATAATAAAAAAGGATTTTGTAAATTTTGCAAGTGTACTTTGTCTGCTAAGTTGTGCGACATTGAAAAACACAAAAACACTAAAAAAAACACAAGAAAGCAGAAGAGCCGTTTAGTGCAGAAAGACAGACAATTTTACCATTCAAGAAACTTGGTGAAGCAAAAAAAGTGGAGGGAACTCTGGCCATGTTTGTAGCTGAACATTGTTCTATTCGTGTGGTAGAACACTTAAGTGAAGTGTGTAAAGTATGTTTTAGTGACAGCAAGGCAGGCAGTGAACTCAGGTTAAAAAGATCAAAGTGTTCTGGGATAATATGCAATATTCTTGCGCCACATTTCACAGAAAATCTGAAAAATGATATTTTTACAAAATGCATTTTATTTATACTCCGTCCATTATAGTCGGCATTATGAAAATATTATTTGCATCAAATTACTGAAGGGGGGAATAATAGCTAGCGACTTTCCATGGAAGATTTAGCGACATTTAGCTACTTTTAGGTACCAGCCTAGCGACATTTAGCTACTTTTAGGTACCAACCTAGTGACATTTGAAAATCCGAGTTGGCAACCCTGGACCTTGCCAGGGAAGCTGCGCAGACTGTTACAGTTCCAGGCTTCTCCGAGACCACCAACGACGATAACATGGAGGTGATCAGAGATCCTGAAGTGACTGCCGACGAGATGATGGAAGAAGAACACGTCAGTGAAGAGGAGGAAGAAGGTGCGTCATTCTCCGAAGAACACAGTTTAACTCATAGTGATATTAAGTGTGCCATAGAGATTGCGGAGAAAATGAAGTCCATCGTTTCCCGCGACAATGACGATGACCGCTATGAAGTCTTCCATACCCGGCTGGCGCAGGCTATGGAGCCCTACATCAAGGTGTATCACGACAACATCAACGCCAGCCGTCAAAAAAGCATAACAGATTTCTTCGCCCGCAACCCACCACAGCCAGCCCAAGCCAGTGATAGTGACTTTGAGGAATTTGTCAGGGAAGCCCTGACAACTGTAAGTGACAGTGATGCACCTTGTAATGGTGATGCACCTTGTAATTGTGATTCACCTGAGGGCCAGTAGCCTGCCCTCTGCCTCGGAACCAGCCTCCATCCCCGTATGCCGACGCATCTCTTCCACTACCGTAAGTGTTCCACCTAACTTTTAGTTTTCCGAACCTAACCTTTATTTTTCCTATGTTAACCTTTATTTTTCCTAACCCAACCTCTTCTATATTACTTGTTTTCTCATACCATCATATAGTTAAGATAAAATTTTTACTGCAACATAGTTATGTGTCGTCAAAAAGTGGAGTTTGGGGGTCGGGCTGGTTTCTATTGGAATTAATCCCATATGTTCTGTTGTTCACTTAACACAGTACCCTCTGGGTTTTATTGACCGCGTTAAGTGGGGTACAACTGTATATTTGGCCCAATCAAAATCGAGTTTTATTTTGGGTCTCATATTTTGAAATTCAAGTTCAGTTCCGACCATGGAAGTCTGCGATGGATGTCACTTAAAGTATATGGAGCGGATTGCGCGATTTTGGAAAAAAATGAAGAAACTATAGCATTTTTTCGATTGCATGGTGGTCTTCCAACCTCAGTAAAGTGTACTAAGAGCAAGACTGAATGTAAATATCGCAAAGACCAACATATGTGGCGTTGTGTAAGAATCCCAGAATGCAACGACGAACAAGAACCAGGCCAATAAGGTAAGAAATAGGTGATTCCATCATATGGTGAGAGTCAGTTAAGTTAGGTTAGGCTAGGATAGGTTTGGTTATTGTTTTTCTAGTGTTTTATTGTGTATTTGTTAGTCGCTCAGGCACTTTATTCCTCGGAAAACGTCAAACGAAAAAAATCGCAAAACAAAAAAGTTTAATTTCCGCCAAAAAGGAAGGTCATATTCGGTCTCAGCACACACAAATACACTAGAAAAATATATTTTTAACTTGCTACAAGTGAACGGTGCTACAAGAAAAATTTACCGATTGTTATGTTATTTGCTGTTGTTTCGATCCTCTTTTTCATAATTACATGTTTGTGTGTTCTCCATTGACACTGTCATGTCCTCTTCTGAGACCTAATCAGTCCCTACTTTTTTTCTTAAGCTTTTAGTCGATCAGTTATTTGCCAATCTTTAACTTTTATTGCCTATTTCTTTTACATTTTCATTTGTAAGACATTTTTGTTGTCTGATTCTTGTTTTTTACTCTTTGTTATCTACCATTTACTAGAGAATACATTAAACATTTTATTTATGAACTAAAATTAATACCTGTAATTATTTGAGCGATTTTCAAGATTAATTTCATTTTATCCTCTGATGGCTGGGCCTCTACTGCAAATATTTTCCGCTAAATTAACCTTTTTTTTAATAATTTCCGTGCCTTGTTTATTCCTTCGTGGATTTTCATACGTACTGCCTCATCCTTGTGTTGAATCTCTCAGTCTATTGTGCGTTTGAATCTTTCTTCTATTTTAATTCTATTTCTGCTATGACTACGCATTGCCTTTTACGAGTAGTTAGCCTATTACTACAACCTACCTACTACTACTGTGACTACTACACTAATGCTATGACTTGCTATTACTTTATTAGCATTGCTAGTTATACTACTATGACTTACTACTATTACTACCACTACAACTACTGATACAACTACTATTACTACTGTTATTTACCACTGATGTTGATTATACAGTAATATGATCATGTTCTACTGTTTACTCATCATGTCTTTGTTTATTTTCATTTTTTCCTCAGTCTAACTTGATTTCTGTTTTTTTTTCTTTCATCCCTTTATTCCTCTTCCTCCTTTACTTAATTTACACCTTCATTATCACTTGTATCTTTATTTTCCCTTTTTTTATTTTTTTATTTTTTCAGGTTTTCTTATTTCTGTAACAACAATTACTGTTTATCTACCATTCATGATTCAGGTACAGTATTTTGAATAACTGCTCTCCTTCGATTCCTGAACCTTTTGAAAATAAACCATTTTCCACTGGCATAAAAAATTATGTCGTTAGCATGAGTAGGACACCAAAGCTATTTATATATTAATTTATTTATTTTCAATAAACCAAGTAAATCTAGCCATCCTTTTCCTAACTATTTTTGGTAGATATGGTTCAAATACTCAGCCTTAATAAAAGCAGTGGTGTTCAATGCTGTTCATGGGTATGCTTTTAACACCCAATCTTTAATAAAACCAGTGGTGTTCAATGCTGTTCATGGGTATGCTTTTAACACCCAATCCTTAATAAAACCAGTGGTGTTCAATGCTGTTCATGGGTATGCTTTTAACACCAATTTCACAAGAACAGCTGATGTAATGAAAACATTTAATACCAGAAAATAGTACATGTATAGGTAGAAATTTTTTAATACATTTTTAAGAATACTTATATATAATTTGTGGCAGTGTTTTTCATAAGAACACCATCGATTGAAAGATTCCTATTTACCTTGTCTGTTATTCCTTAATATTTCCTGGATTTCATTTTCTTTGTATGCCGTTTAATATTTTCTTATCCTGTGGTTTTTGCTTTAATTTCAATTTGAATCACCTAGTGACCATTGGTATATCGGGATGCATTCAATTTTACGTGTTTTCCATGAATATACAACGAATGTACTTGTCATTTCAGGTGCTTCAAATTTTTCATTTTATATGTCAGGCTGAGCATCAATACATGTACTTGCCACTCTTTATTGTTTTCTAAAAAATAACCAAGCAGTTAATCTTGTCTGTTTCTATCGTTCCCTTTATTTCATTTGTATGATGATGCATGTTGCATGTTTTGTGACTCAGCATTATGGGTCAGTGGTTTTCCCAACAGTGCACCCAGTTTTCTACACCAATTCCCAACACCCTTCCCCAACAAATTATAAGAAAAAAATAAACATCACAAACACCATTTGCTCTAGTTTTAAAAAGCCATGTGGTTATTTTGGGAGTTGTTCAAGTGTCATGAAAGCTGGACATAAGAGTATGGCGTAATAGCCATGGAGAAAACAATACAATACTCAAAGTGCCTCATCATCAATTAGAAATTAATAGAGACCAACTAACACAATAATCATAACTGATAATTACTGTAATTTTTTTCTTTTAACAAGTAATTAAGTATTTCTGGAATCAGAACAAAGTATACTGTTCCTCCTTATAGGAATAATGAATTTTATAAAGGCAAATCTGGAAAGGGATGTATCACTACAGAAAGATCTCTGTCAGCTTCAAGAGTGGTCGAAGAAATGGCTGTCAATATTGAATGTCACGAAGTGTAAGAGGATGCACCTAGGTCACGTTTGCTAATTTGCCTACTGGCATCCTCATTTTTAACCTGATGTGAATACGAGAACGGTAAAGGTATTGGGGCATAAATACACAACATCAAATACATAATTAATAAGTAGTTCTTATTGTTATAACAAAAATATTTAACTATCTTATTTAATCATAATAATTAGTACATCTCACATACCTCACACACCTCCTACTCCAAATTCAAAGTAACTAAAATCCCCTTAAATACCTCTTTAATATATGTAAAGAACTGTAGTGTAGTTACGTAGTACTGTACTTGTTTCTCTCTTTCTCTCTCCCAGTAGTTCCTCATGATGAGACTTTTATTACAGTTCGTGTGGGCCCAGTTATGAGCTCGAACAGACAACAGTTCAGCGCCCCCGTTGAATCCAGAGTCCAGCGACCCCACAGTCGTGTTAATGAACCAGGTAGAAAAATATTAACTGCTGACGAGGGACACTAACCCCCCACCCCCCAAAAAATAAAAAATAAAAAAATAAATCGTGATGAAGAAGGCATTACATTTCATCTTTACAACACAATAATTCTAATGATCAATGACATGGTTACTATTTACTGATGTTCTTATGCTGTAGTTTCTAAGAGAGGACATACAGGGTACCTATGTTACGAAGTTATTTCTTACAGGTTACATCATTGCATCTTGATATACTGGAAAACAATATGGTTTACTCTTCTTACTGTTAGCATTTTTCTTCTTCAATGTGCTGAGCTTCAAGGCGACATGCAGGTCCTGGGATTTTATAAATTAGGGTTACTGTAAGCGCAGTATATGATCAGGATTTTTAGGGAGACTTAGCATAATTCTTACATGGTTGTTTAGTACCTTGGCTAATCTTTCTTAAGGTGAGGTATTGTGGCTCATAGATGTGGGTCCAAGTGTAACTACAGTTTAGGATGTTAGATTTTGTATTTTTGTATTTTGTAATTCAGTGATGGTTAGATTGTAATTAATGTAGTAATGATAATGTATATAATATTGTATAAAATAACTGCACTTTTATTATACTAGTATTGTGAATATCACTTGGCTTATGCAGTTCAATAGTTTGACCAATCATAATATTTTTCATTTGAATTAGTCCACTTTTTTCAAATTTTCTTATGGATTTGATGTTTGTTCTCTTCCCTACTAAACCACCTCAATGTTTCAGAATGTGGTATTGAAAGATCAACTCAGTTTTCGAAGAGAATTATTGGAGGTGACGAAGCCAATTTTGGAGAGTTCCCTTGGCAAGCGCACATCCGCATCTCAGGTTATCAATGTGGTGGCGTTCTCATCAATCACTATTTTGTGGCCACAGCGGCACACTGCATTCACAAGTAAGTTATATTACGTGAAAACCATTCGTTAAATGAATATTCGTATAATAACAAATTTATGGGAAAATAGGGTTCACTTCCTAATGAAAAGAAAATCCCAATATTATACTTAAATAAATAAGCAAATAATTAAACATTTAAATAAATAGGTTCACAAGCAACAGCAAAATCTACCTAACTACTGTAACTTAGTACAGTACTTAACACATTAAATATATAATAAAATATAAATTTGTTACATTACCTTAAGGGACCATATTCGTATACAGTACTGTACTATATGCGAAAATAGCTTTTTTATAGTGAGAAAGAGGTGTAAGAATAGAATACAGTACTGTATTTGCATAAGCGAATATTTATAGAGTGAATGTACATATAGTGAGAAATACCTACAAGTTTGTTGAAAATGGGTGAGTACAGTACAGTACTGTATTTAAATAGTTTCTTAAGACCCTGGTAGTTGAGGCACACAGATGCCAGTGTCAGTTCATACAGCCATCAGGGTTTCATTTCGGTAATAACTGTAGATAACTGTTTTGTTGTGAAGCATGAGACTTGTTATTAGGGAACTGAAGTTCAGTAAACTAGCCATAAAATAATTACAGTAAATGACTTTACATGTACTTGAAGCTGCTATTGTAAATTCATAGGTTTTTATAGTTTTATAATACTTGTGCATTCTAAATACTGTACCCTAATCTTAAGTTACTGGAGTTTGAGTGGTAGTTCCGTTGGATTCCAATAGATTACGTTGGGTTCTGTGTTAGAATGAAGATACAGTACATATAAAAATAAGGATAAGAAGATTTCTGATACATGAATATCAAATGCTTTCAGAGCACGACTGGATCAGATCACTGTCCATCTGGGCGAGTTTGATACCAAAGATACAGGAGAGCATGACGAGCCCCTCCCTAAGGAGACATTTACTGTGGTAGAGAAGCGAATACATCCAAGTTTCAAGTACATGCTTACCCAGCCTGACAGGTTAGTAGTCCTCAGAAATTTCCCACTGAAAAAATACTTGCAGGATCTTTGGGGAACACTTACTGTACTGTATTATAATATTAAAGAATAATTTATTTCACATTTACAGCTGAGCATAAAATTATTTTATGAATGATGATGTAATTTTTTGTTCTTAACCAATCAACAAAATATATTTTGTGCTCTGTTGTACTATAATAAGTTTTCTATGTATTGTACAGGTATGATTCTATTAAGATAATCACATTAACACTAATTTACTGTATATCTTTCTTGATCTTTGATGGTTGTTGTCCAGTATAAAAAGTTAGTTGGCTTTTGTTATCTGTTTAAGCACAGAAATACAGTACAGTATATAACAATACAAAAAGAACAATTGATTGTCCGAATGCCTAAGATAACTTGTTTGTATATAACAGGTGCTTGACTGCATAATATAACACAAACATGTACTGTACTCACATTGCTTTAGTAATTTGTGTGCTGTACTTGTTTCATACTTCAAGTGTACACATAGCAATTCTTTACAATTGAGATGAGGATTACCTAGCATAAAACACTGGAAACCTCCTATACCTGTACATTACATTATAAAAAAGAAAAAAAAAATCTTCGACAGGTTTGACGTAGCTGTGCTCCGCCTGAACCGTCCTGTTGTATATCGAGACAATATCATACCAATATGTCTTCCGGATCCTAGTGATGATTTTATTGGGGAGGTTGGCATCGTGGCAGGTTGGGGCAAGACTGACAACTCATTTGGTGAGTGATTTGGTGTTTTGTTGTTCTGTTAATTTGAAAATAACAATATAGTACTGTATAGGTTACAGGTACAGAAATTATGTGAGCTCATTCAAGACCAAACTTGACCAACACTGTCGCAAGTACAGATACATCCTGGAGCTAGTACATGCCCATTGTACTTGCCAGCAGTGCATTACAGAAATATGACCGACAGCCCAGACAGCTAATGAGACAATCAGTGGCGAAAAGGACATTGTAAAGTGCAATATACCGGTAATTATAGTAAAATGGAATCCAGGTCAATCAGGGTCGAGTATAATTAGTTCATCCCTGGTCAAATAAAACTAAGTTTATATAAACCTTTATTTATAAACATGTTCTCATATATTTTTAATAAATTTGCTTAAGGTATGAGTCTTTATTCATACTCACAAAAGAGGACACCTTGATAAAGTGAACACTGCAAGTTCCATGAATGGTCTAATTATTTTAATTTGTTTATTAATTTCTTTGTATATTTACCTTGTAAAATACAGTATTCATCCTATCATTTATTTTATATCTTCTATTTTATATTTAACTCCACAAGCTTCTTTTATACCATTCCTGACTGACAGACACACTCACTTGGAGGACTTATGGGCGCTGACTGCATAGTCAAGGTGAAAGAGGCGATTGCAAGCCATAGGGGAACAAGTTCCCTAGGGACGAAAATAGATGAAGCTGGAGCCTTGCTGGTTGCCAAACTAGAACAAGTTGGGAAAGAGATCCTTGCTAAGACTGAGGAAGTAGCCGATAGAATAGAGGTGGTTGCTAAGAGGAGTTATGCTGAGGCATTAGCAGGGCCACAGGGGGTGGCGGAGAGTATTGGAGGATCAGAACAGGTTCTACAGCAGCCAGGGACTCTGAAGAAGTGTGTCAAAGAAATGAAAATTAGCGGACCTACTGTTAGGGGAGAGGAGGAACAACGGGAACGTTTCCAGCGCAGGAACAATGTAATAGTTTTTGGAGTCCCTGAGAGCCAGGCGGAGGGAACTGAGACTAAGATAACACACGATAAGATGCAGTTTAAGAATATTTGTACAGAGGTTCTGAAGATGCCATCAACCCCTCAGGATGTGAGGAGGCCGGGACAAAAGCAGGGGGATAAGCCTTGCCCCCCTCAGGATCACACTAGTGAGTGAGGAGGAAAAATGGGAGGTTATTCGGCAGGCAAAAGACTTAGCAAGGAGCGAGGCATTTCGGAGTGTATTCATTCACCTAGATTGCACAATAATGCAGAGGGAATAGCACAAGAAGCTCCTGCAGGGCTTGAAGAGGGAGGAGTCAAGGAGGAATGAGGATGGGTGTACTGGACATTGGTTATATTCAGGGGGGGGTAGTGGAAGCAAGTGTGCCGACACAGAGGGGCAGCAGCAACCCACCCACCCACCTACCCCCCACCCTGGGGTGGCCAGTTCCCCTACAGGCAGGAGGAGGCCGCGTAAACAAACAATGACATTTCACACCACACCCTGCAAAGTGTACTTTAGTGTTACTACTAAGAGCAGAGACGTTACCGAGAACAAATTCTGGCTTGAATGTCATGTACACTAATACTGACACGTTCCTTGATAAGAGAGAGGAGTTTGAAACACTACTGAAGGTACACCAACCCGATATTGTAGGAGTTGTAGATCTGTTGTACAAGAATAGGAGAATCGACCCAGAGGAATGCGAGTTCAGTATTGCTGGATATGACTCATTTACGAACCTTTCTCATGAAACTTGCAAGAGGGGTGTTGTTATCTATGCTAGGCAAGACCTTAGAGCCCGCCAGGCGAGGGTACAGGGAGAGGATGTTTTTGAAGAGTCCAAGTGGTGTAAAATTAAATTAAAGGGAGGGGGACTTACTTATTGTCGTGTGAATCTACAAATCCTCAAACTGTTGCCCACTAAATCAAAGGAACTTAACCTTAATAGACAATGCAGCAATGCTCAACCCTTGCCACCTCCTTATCATAGGGGACTTTAACTATGGCGACATCGACTGGAGAAATGAATTCACCCCAAATGACTTGAATATCCCTCCTACTCTTTTTGTAGAAACTCTGAGAGATAATTTTCTGTTCCAACATGTTAGAGACCTGACACATTACAGAGGGGAGCAAACATCCAAGCCACTAGACCTCCTCATAACAAACGAGGAGGGTATGGTGGCCAAACTGGAACACCTTGCCCCAGTTGGCACCAGTCACCATATAGTGTTGTCATTCAGATTTAACTGTTACCTAGTTCAAGATAAGGCCAGGCCAAGGTGCAAATATTACAAGGGAAATTACAACGGGATGAGGGAAGAGATGAGGGGTATCCACTGGCCTGACTCATTAAGGCACAAGAACACAGACACTACGCTGAATATCATAACTAGTAACGTGACCTATTTGATCGATAAATTCAAGACGTGGGTTGGGTCAAACGATGAGCAGGACAGGAGGATGTATGCAAGAGCCAGAAACCAAGCAAAGGCAGAATGTAGAAGGCTGAAAAGGAGTTCCAGAGGCTGGTTGCAAGTGAGGTCAAGTCAAACCCAAATGTGTTTTACCGCTATGCAAAGTCAAAATTAAAAACGTGAGTAGGAGTATCAGACCTGAGGCTTGAAGATGGTAGTTATGCAGATTCTGACCGGGATAAAGCTGAGGCATTAAACAGCTTCTTTTCCTCGGTGTTCACAAGAGAGAATGCGATTAACCTTCCTGCATTTGAGGACAAACGGTTCGACACAGCACTGACCCACATTATGTTCACAGAAGAGGGTATTAGATATAAACTGTCAAAGCTAAAGGTCCATAAGAGTCCCGGTCCTGACAAGGTGCATCCCAGAGTGCTAAGGGAGTTGTGCAACGAGCTTGCCGAGCCCCTGAAGATCCTGTTCTGTAAATGCCTGGATGAACAAAAGGTCCCCAGTGATTGGAAAATAGCTCATGTGAGTCCTATCTTCAAGAAGGGCGATTGTCACTCCACGAACAACTATAGACCGGTGAGCCCGACCAGCATAATATGTAAATTACTTGAGAGTATTTTCAGAGATGCTTTGATGGAACATCTACTACGAAACAACCTTGTAAAGGATTGCCAACACGGTTTTATGCCGGGGCGCTCCTGCTTAACACAATTGCTCAAGGTATTGGATATTTGGACCCATATTATGGAACTGGGTGGTAATATCGACAGTATATACCTAGATTTTGCCAAGGCTTTCGACAGTGTACCCCACGAAAGGCTGAAAATCAAACTAGAAGGGTACCGAATTCGGGGAAATGTCCTAGCGTGGATAGAAGACTTTCTACATGACCGCAAGCAGTGTGTGGTGATTAATGGCACGAAATCATCATCTGTACCTGTCACAAGCGGGATACCACAGGGCAGTGTTTTGGGCCCTTTGTTGTTTGTTTGTTTCATAAATGACATGCTTGACATTGTACACTCCTCCATACAAATGTTTGCCGATGACACCAAGTTATTTTGGGAAATCAAGAACCAAGCGGACTGTGAAGAGCTGCAGAAGGATCTCTGTGAGCTCCAAGAATGGTCAAAGAAGTGGCTGCTGAGATTCAATGTCATGAAGTGTAAGAGGATGCACCTGGGGCGTACCAACGGTAAGGAGGCGTATCATATGTCCCAACTGGATGAAGAAACCACTATTTGAGACTGAATGTTAGAAGGACCTAGGTGTGTATGTTGACAATGAGCTGAAGTTCTCGGGCCATTACGAGAAGAAGGTAAATCGGGCAAATAAATTATTGGGTCTTATAAGAAGGTCGTTCAGATAACTGGACTGTCCGTCCCTCGTAACAATCTCCAAGAGTGAAGTGCTTCCCCATCTTGAGTACTGTCACTCTGTCTGGTCCCCGAGATATGCTAGGGACTGTCAGTTGGTTGAAAATGTTCAAAGGAGGGCCACCAGACTGGTGCCTGCACTTCGGCACCTCAACTACCCTGAGAGATTGGAGCGCCTGAACTTGCCCAGCTTATACTACAGACGGGCAAGGGGCGACCTAATTGAGGTGTATATAAGCATCTCAAGGGGCACTACTCAGTTGAGTGTTCTTACTTGGAGCTGGCGGATGCTCGCCCCACGAGGGGTCACAGCTCAAGATTGAAGAAGCCGCAAGTCCAGAAAACTGTGAGGGCAAACTTTTTCGCAGTGAAAGTTGTGAACTTTTGGAACAATCTGCCAGAAAGTGTTGTGATGGTACCGAGTGTAAGTTCTTTCAAGACCAGACTTGACCAACACTGGAGCAGATTCAGGTACATTCAGGAGCCGGTTCATGCCCAGTACCTGCCAACAGTGCGTAACAGAGAGCCAGTACATGACTAGTACTTGCCAACAGTGAGTGACAGAGACGTGACCGATCGCCCATGCGGCTAACGAGCTGATCAGTGGTGAAGAGGATAAAAGTAAAGTAAAACATGTACCGTATTCATCATTATTTTATCTATTTCAGGAAAAACGGGTACCAACATACTGCAGAAGGTGCTGGTGCCAGTGATCAGCAATGATGATTGTTTACGCTGGCACCACCATAAGGGGATTGACGTTAAGCTCCATTTTGAAATGTTCTGTGCAGGACACTCCGAAGGCGAGATGGATGCTTGTCTTGTAAGTTTCTAGAACAGTATTTTCTTATAACTAATAACATTTTGCCACGATTAAGAAGCCTTGTAATTTTTTTACAAATGAAATATTTTTTTTTTATATGCAGTACAAGGTTAAAACCTTTGATTAGTCTTAAGTTTTGTAAGAAACTGTCCCTCACCTGTCATTACTTAACCTGACCCAGGTCTGGTCAGTGTGAATCCAAATACCTACCGGTAGATAAGTTTATGGCTAACTTGTGGCTTCAGTCTCTCTCTGTGGTTGCTGTTTAAAGCTTTCTTGGTACAAAACAGTACAGGTATATTAACACCTCTAAGATAAGAAATATTTCTTTCTTGTCTCCTTGGTAATAAGTACACTACAGTACTGTACTTTGAAGCAATTGAGTGGCATATCCTTATAAAAATCTGTATTACCATTATGAATCTTTTTTTTTATGTGTGTGACTACCTTGTTTTTCCTTGAAGATATAATCATGCCATTCACCAACTCATAGAAAATATAGTTTTTGTAACTCTGATGACTGTAGGCCCTGTTGTTCATACTTAACATCAGCCTCATCATCTGCTTACAGGGTGATTCTGGGGGCCCTCTGGTTATCCACAGAAATGGAAGATGGGTTCTAGCAGGGATTACCTCTGCTGGATTTGGTTGTGCGGTGGACCATCAACCTGGGATTTATCACAAAGTCTCAGTCACCTCAAGTTGGGTAACAGGAAGTGTTAGAACTTGATTGTATTTGTAAAGTTAGGTATATTAGGTAGGAAAATTGAAATTTTTAGTCAATTTGTTTCTAGTGATTAGCTAAGATCCCTGTTATGTTACTGAATTTTTAGTTCCACAAATAATTTTTGTATGTAGAAATTAACTGTGACCTATTAGGTTTTCTGTCTTACTATTTTTTACCAAAATCATTTTAAATGAAGTGCGAAACTAGAATACAGTACTACTTGGATCTTAGCGTTACCAATACCTGTATACAAATAATTTTCTCCATCCTGCTACTAAGTACTGTACAGGCAGACCCCAATTTACGAAGATCTGATTTATGAATTATCTGAAGTCAGTGATTCCCACTGCCCCCACATTTCAGATTCCATGTGATAAATCCAAAATTACACATCTTTCCCTGTTTTTGTAATTTCTTCACAGTATTGGACGATGATGAGGTGCTGACACAGGCATCTCAGGGTTTCTTGTACCAGACCTGGCCAGTTTATAAAGACAGTTAATCTAAACACAACATACAGTACTGTACTGTATTAAGAGTGGTTAACAAATCTAGAAATAAAATACATGTAGCGTTTTAGTTATCATGGCTCACAAGACCACTACAAGACTCTCACTCAAGGGTTTGATCTGATGTCAATAGAAAATAAAAAATAAAATCCAGTGAAATCAAATACAGTATAGTACAGGTATCTCAAAATGCAGTAGACATATACTAGTTGGTGCATTACTACAAAATTATAACCATATGTCTTGGATGAGCCTCACAATCTCAGTGGTGCAGTTCCTCAGTAATGCTCATGTCCTCTGCTGTATGTATTTCACTCATTATGATTATTATTGGCTGATATATAATCATTGTTTATACCCAAAGTTTTTAAGTAAAAATGTTTTGGAGTGTTATAAGACATTTTGGAGGTCTTTTTATTATTATTATTATTTTTTCATATGAAAGTATCTCAATTTTTATAATGGGAGTCTATGGGAAAATGTGTTTCAATTTACAAACAATCGACTTACTGAAGGTTTTCAAGAACAGATCTCTTTTGCAAATTGGGGATTACCTGTACACATGAAAAACAAATTAACCGAATAAAATTGAAATAAGAAACAAGGCATAAACATGAAAGAAATATTAATGGTTGATAAAAATATGTACAGTACTGTACTGTACATAGATTATCTACTACCCATTAATGGAAAGCGTTTCAATTACAGTCGTGTCCTCTTTATGAGGAAGTCATTACCTGAAATACCCATATATTATTTTTTCATTGAAGTTTGGATTGTAAATCTGACAATCAACATTATTCCCTTGAACCTTGTTCCTCTGTCTTTACTGCAGCATAACAGGTGAAGGGTAATAAAAAAAGCTGTTCACCTGATGACCCCAAAGTGGAATTTTTCAGGGCTGAAGTCACCCTGGTAAAAATTTATGAGCTTAAATTTCTTAGATTAAACTTGTCAGGATTTTCTTGAGCTTGAAATAACTTAAATCTCTGGGCAGAAAATGTGTACTCTACATCAGTAGTCAGTGGGCCGTACATGTATTGTTTCTGCTCATGTTGTCTTGGGTGACCTTACATTTTTTCTTTCTCTAGTGTGGTAAAACCTTTTGTTTACTGTAGAGGTCATGACACTAGGATCTCTATGTAGATATTGGTAAACTAATCATCAGAACTCAACATCATGATTACTAAGTAAAATGAAACCCTAAGTTAATTTACTAAGATTTGAAGCTAGTCCTAGCTGTTAAAATAAATTTGTAGACTCTTACCGATGCGTCACAGGGACAAGAATGACTTCTATAAACATAATGTCCTAAATTACAAGTCTTTACAGGGAATCATCCTAAATTACAAGTCTTTACAGGGAATCTTTTTGAAAGTTATTATCAAGAGACTTACTCCATACTTCTTCAAGTATGCCTAACCCACACAAGGGTGGAAATTGGCTGTAAAATAATGATGATGGTGACTTTTCAAAATCAAGATTGCTCGCCTTGTTATTCTGCAAGTAATATTTATGTTGCAACTGTGATAGTGTGTGTTTTTTAACAAATTATCAGTATCAAATGTTTTTTATAATATATATTTCAATCTCTTTATGTATACAAAAGTTTGTAGTGTCCAGTATTCAAATCTTCTTCAAGTATACATGTAAGATACCACTGAAGTTGATTATGTATTTGTTCATATTTATAATTGAACAACTGCACCAAAATCTCTTAACAATGAACAATACAGTACAGAAGGGGATGCTTATATGCAATGCATAAATCTTTTTTTTAATTTATGGTTGTACACAGAAAATTTTCAATGCGACTATCAGTAAGGGATGTGTGTCAGGATCTAAATACACAAAAGTGAACAGAGGTGCATTATCTTTAGTTTTAGACTTGTAGTCTTCTAAAGGAGTATAGTCACTTAACTAATAGAATACCCAGAATCTATATTTTTCTTTATGGAAATTGTATGTAAAATCTTGAAATGAACATAACCTGCAAAATCTGAGGGTGGTAATTGTATTGAGAGTGGAAAATAGCCATAACATATAGATGAAGATATCATTCTGTAGCCATTATGGTGATGAGGTTGATGGGTGAAGTTGTGCTGACATTGGTGGAACTGAGTAAATTTGGTGAAGCGATGTAGTCATGCTAGAAAATTTAACAAGTCCAAGCTGGCTATACACTATAGTGCTTGTAATGCTGTAGTCAGGGCTTTTCCTTTATCCTCTTCACCACTGATCTGCCTGTTTGGAATTAGTGTGGTGACCAGATACACGCATTATGTGCCAGAGAATAAGGGCACTTAGGTGTAATGACACTACTGCAATGCATTTTGGAGTGAAGTGTATATAAATTTGGCAAATACAAGTCACCCTTGTTTATGCCATCTCTGCAATAACCCATTTACATATTCACATTTTGCTATTTACTTCCCAGATTTCACTTGTACTAGGCTAAGGTTCACACATACATAGATTTGCATCAAAATTTTCATATTTCCTGCACGTAATGTATCAGGGGAAACATGTCACTCTCCAGAATGTATCTGGAACTTGTTGTGTGGAGACATTTGTTTTACAGTAGTTGTAGACTTGATTTTGTCCATTAATAATAGCTCTCTTAAAGCATCCTTCAGGTTCTACAAGTAAAGAACATCTTATGAAGAAGATATTGAGTAGTCTTGATAAGGATAAAACAGTTACAGTGCCTGGCAGTGATGGTGTTCAGTTGTTTCAATAAAGATATGCCACATTCTATTCATTCTTCCATATAATTGCTTTCAGATGATGCTAAGCTATTCAGAGAAATTAAGAACCAAATGGACAGGAAGATGTCTATCAATTTCAAGAGTGGACAAAAGAATGGCTGTTAAGATTCAACATTATGAAATGCAAGAGGATGTACCTAGGTCATGCCAGTAGTAAGGAGGTGTATCATATGCCCAATATGATGAAGAAGCATCATTAACTGAAACTAAATGTGAAAAGGACCTGGGTGTTTAAGTTGACAATGATCTGTAGTTCTTGGATCATTGTGAGAAGATGGTGAATCATGCATTTGAACTCTACTGTAGTAGATCGCACACATGCATTGATGGTCCGTCCCTCATAAGGCTCTTCACTGGTATAGTGCTCACCCATTTGGAGTACAGTACAGTACTGACATTCTCTTTGGTTCCTAAGATTTACTTAAGACTGTCAGCCGATTAAGAACATCCAAAAGAAGGCCACTAGACTGGTGCCTGTAATTTAGCACCTCACATAAAGCGATTAGAAAGCCTTCAGCTGCCTAATTTAATACTTGTACAGATGGGCAAGAGGTGATATAATAGAAGTTTATAAACTCCTCAAAGGACATTACTCAGTCAAGTCTTCATATCTAGAGCTTGCAGATGCCCACTGAGTTGTCCACCCTCACCTGCCTGGAGTGAGCTCGTTAAAGACCAGACTTGACCAACACTGGCATATGTCCAGATAAATTCTGGAACCTGTACCTACCCAGTGCTTGTCAACAGTGCATAACAGAAAAATGACCAAAGACTCAAGTGGCTAGACAGTTGATCATTGACAAAAAGGATAGGGTAACATAAGGAAAATATAATTCTAATATGCTTGACTTACCTATCCTCTTCGCTACTGCTCGGTTTGTTAGCAACTTGGGCAGTTGGTCACTTCTCTGTTATGCACTGTTGACAAGTATTGGGTATGTACAGGTTCCAGAGTTTATCTGGACATATGCCAGTGTTGGTCAAATCTGGTCTTTAACGAGCTCATACTTAGTGCCACCACAACATTCTTTGGCAGGTAATTCCAAGAGTTCACAATACCTGTCCTTACTGCAGAGAAATTATCTCTGACCATTTACTGTACCTGTGTCTCCTTTAACATCTAGTGGGGTGGACATCTGCTAGCTCTAGATATGAAGACTTGACTGAGTAATGTTCTTTAAGATGATAATAAATTCCTATTACATCACTTCTTGCCTATCTACTCGGCAGTTGAAGGTATCCTAACCTCTCTTGGTGTGTGAGATGCTAAATTACAGGCACCAGTCTAGTGCTCCTCTTTGGACGTTCTCACCCATCTGACAGTATTTAACACACCTTAGGGATAAAAAAAGAAAGACAGTGTTCCAAGTGGGGAAGCACCACACCCTAATAAGGGACAGACCATCTAGGTACCGGTATATGTACGATATTTGTATAAACCTTGAAAATTTAGTTGCATGATTCACCTTCTCTCAATGATCTGAGAACTTCAGTTCATTGTCAAAATAAATATCCAGGTCCTTTTCACATTTAGCTTCAGTTAATGATGTTTCTCCATCTTGTTGGGACATGTGACATGCCTCTGCTATTGGTAGGACTTACAAGCATCCTCTTGCATTTTGTAATGCTGAATCTCAACAGCCAGTCCTTTCTCCACTCCTGAAATTGACAGAGGTCCATCTGTAATGCTTCACTATTCGTTTGGTTCTTAATATTCATGATTAGCTTAGCTTCATCTGCATAGATTTGTATGGAAGAATGAATAGCATCTGTCATATCATTTATGAAACAAATGAAGAGGAATGGTCCCAACACACTGTCCTGTGGCAATCCACTAATCACGAGTACCTACACATGATGATTTTGTACCATTTATCACCACATACACTTGTGGTCGTCAAGAAAGTCTCCGATCCACGTCAGGATGTTCCCAAAAATTCTGTACCCTTCCAGTTTAATTTTCAGCCTTTCATTAGGTGAGCCATTAAATGCCAAAAGAAAAACTTGATACAGGTGTTAATGTGAGCAGCTAAACATTATATACAGTACTGTAGTTGAAACAGTCACACTGAGATAGTGAATTTAAAAGATAAATTTAAATACAGTATTTCATTTATGTGTATGCAACTAAGATGCAGTGTATCAAAAGAAAAAAATGATATTTCCATGGGAAAATCCATATTTTGAATATTTCTGCAATGTTATTCTGAGATTTCCTCTTACTCAAATTTTTCCCTGAAATAACTTTCCAGGGTCCCATGCTGTTGGTTGATAAGAGGTTATTGTGTACAGTATGCCACGTCTTCTGAAACACTGTTTAAGAGCATATGTAACATGAGGTTCAAATATATATTCATATAAGCTTTTTTGTATACAGATGACCAACTTTTCAATTTTCTACTTCATGCGCATCAAAATGTCAAATATTCACAAATTTGTTTTAGTAATGCTAGATTTTTAAAAAGGTGTTGAAAGATTCCATGCAATTTAGATAAAATTATACAGTTGTTGTCATATTACTTCACCAGAAGCATTTTCTTAATTGAACAACTACAGTATATCAAATTCAGAATGAGTGATTCAACATCTCAAATATTAGTTTAGTGATGTCTTGTATACTGTATTGTATAGTAATTAGAAATCTTCTATTGTATGGTTTGTGCAAACGATTCAGAATATTGTATCTTCTTAAACAATACCTTTTTACATCTTGTCATATTCTAGCAGTTACTTAACAACCACAGAGACCATTTGTATTGATATGTATTTTCATCAATACTCTTTATCATCAAATCCTGCCAGGGATCCATGCCATTCATTTTCCCATTTTTTTACAGAACTTGAAATGTCTTGTAAGTGAAGTTAATCTTTTAATGTATTGATTTTCACGCCATTTTGTTTCATTGTCTTATCTGCACCCTTAATTTTTAAGATTCATACAGCATGTTGAATTTTCACATAACTGCTGTCGCAAGATTGGAATAAACGACTGCCAGGCTTATACAGAAAGGGAGTCAAAATGATATAGATTTTACACAGACGATCTCATTACAAAACTGAATTGTTCTAACACTGAACAGTAAAGTTCATAACAAAGTAACAAAGAAAAGACCAACTGCCTGAATGGCTAGTAAGCTGAAAAGAGGTGAATGATAATATAGTGAATTCCCAGTTAAGGTAAAAGGGGTTTACACTCGGCAAAAAATAGTTCTCAGGCACTCTAAACATCAAACAATTAAATATGACAAAACGAATGAGAAATATGATGCTCTCTTCAGGAAGTTTTATTGCAAATTACGGGACCGTACTTCTTTTCACTTGTAAATACTATAAAGATGACCAACATATATTATTAGGATATATCGAGAGTCATTTTGCGACCAGGTATACCAACCATTCTGAGATGACGCAAGCCACAGTGCTCATTCTGAAATCTGTCGCACCCAGCTATTCAAGAACTTTTTGTGGCGAGTGTACCTAGTAATCTTTAAACAGTCCGGATCGTGTATTCCAATTATAAAATGATGTCATACCTTGGCATAAGAGAATACAGAATAGGGAAATAATAAGTAAACCCTTACTGTCAAATTATTTTCTTTACAGTACTGAACTCTTTTAACTGTACAGGTATATAAGTTAAAAATACGTACCTACATGTTATTTAAATGAAAATTATCCCATCAAAAGGAGAAATTGTCTTCTTCAGAGTAAGTACATGTATTTATTTTGATTTCAAAGGCAATTTTAGGACTACTGTATCTGTAAAGTCACTCAAAAAACTATCTCCTTTGGGGGAGAGGAGGAGGAGGTCAATGAATTTCAAAATGAACACTGCGACTCCTGTTGTCTTGGTAGGGTTGTCAAAATCCTTCATCCATTGCCTCATATTTTTCAACACAATTTTATTCAGATAGTTTTTCAGTGACCGTAACAACACCACTAAAGAATATATATCAGATTTACTCAAGGTTAACAAATATCAATTAGCTACATAAACCTTGTTTTTTGTACTGTATATGTCATGTGTGTGTGTGTGTGAATTTTTTTTTCATAAACATGTACAGTACAGGTACTTTACTCTGAATCTTATGTTAAGTATTCGTACTGTTTTGCATATTTCTTCACTGTGTTTTCCACTTAAATAACTATATGTACTGTACTGTACTGAGATTATCTGCACCATACTTAAGTTTATTCTCTGATTTTTACTCCACTTACCAGATCCTTCTACACATGTATTAGTTACTAGAGCACAATTTTTTTTTTATTCAAATATATACAGTACAGTATATGTAATGTCATTTTATACATTCATATATTTTTTGTATATACTGTAATTCTCAAGCAGTGTTCATGGTCTGGTTTCATTGATTAAATTAGTCAACTCTGTGCTCTAATAAGTTACCTTGTATAGGCAGCTGAAAGAACTTACTCCTCCAGTGTGCTTATGACTTGATCTCCATGAAGTGTATTTAGGTATTGTACTGTGTTAATTATATGCCAAGTACATTGACTACCTAATGTTTATTAATAATGTTGTACTAATACAAATATACTGAGTGACTGTTGTGATATTGAGTCAGTAAAATAATCTTAATTCAGATCTTATTTTAGATTTGTAAAATGACTTATCTGGTGAAATATGATACCTGTACATATAATATTTGAATTCTGGGTTATGATCATAGAGAATGACACACTCTCTCTCTCTCCTCCCTCATCATTATACCAAATGTGTTTTTCAGTGAAATTGTAAAGAGTAATGTTAATGTATTGTAAGTTCTGTAATGTACTGATGTTGAAAATATATCCTAACTTTGCAATCATATTATCAAGAAACTAATGTTATTTCCATATTGCTTGGAATGAATAAGGATGTGATGTTGTACAGTGTATGTGTAACCAATGTTGGACTTTTTTAAAACCAATATTCTTTAATCCTCAAGTTTGCTCGACCAAACATGTACATAATATTTATTTTTGTAAAATTTAGATCAAACAATAATTCTAATGTGATTGTTTCCTTTATCCAATTAATATTTCATTAAAGTTGTTGTGTCTCATCAATACTGTTTTTATGAAGATGCAGTAGATGAGAGGTTGAAATAGATACCCGGTACATCTCCCTATAAATATTGCAGCAGGTGTCTGATGGCTGCCCTAATTGGAGGCTGTTATTATTATGAATATCTGTGCTTCTGGAACTAAGGACCTTAATTTTAAGGGCCAAAATTTCTGGCACCCCCCTCCCCAGGTCCTGATGAGTTATCTCATTTCCTGCAGTGAATTCTGAGAAGGAATGAACGAAAAAAGTATCATTGGGATGCCATTGCTGGCCCAAACAAGCTCTGGGAGATTACAATGCCAGGGAGATGAAAAACAGCCTTGACCATGGGCACGGTACTGTACTGGTTCAGCTACAGTGCTAATCCTTGGCTGCCCATCCCATTCTTACTCCTCATTCAGTAGTCGATGTAGAATGTTCTCCAGCCATCCTTTATTTCCGCATTATGTACAACACATTACCATGGTCAATTTTCACCCACTACCCACCATTATCTTCATTGTTTCCACCCACCATCTGCCTGTTTATTCTGAATACTTCGCTTCTAGTGTCTGCAATGTTCAGCATATCCACGAATACATCCTGTTCATGCGTCTTAGCCTTGTAAACTTCTCTTCTGGCCCTGTGCTTGGTCTCAGGTACCCCTCCTTGTCACTAAACATCTTTCAGGCCTTAAAAAATCTTCTTTTTTCCTTCATCACTGTCCACTTCATCGTTCCATCATAATGTTACTGCATGCTTGGCTGGGCCCTCTGTCAATCCACACATCTTTTTACTTATCAGCTACACTCATGCCAGAACATCCTATTTTGGCCCAGTATCTCCATTGACACTACCCCTCACGGCCACACACTGTTGCTCACAGTTTCCATTCTTTTCAACTCGGTATAAAATGCTTCCCTTATGTATTCTATTCTATTAATTTCCACACTCCTCGAAATATACATCTTCCTTTCTCTGTACCTTTTAAGCAATGTGTCACACACAAGCAATCTGTATTGCAGGACACATTCTTTCCCTGCTTTAACCTTTTCTTCATTGACAAGCTTCCTATCTGATTTCCTAGTCAGTCTGGGTTTTTGTGCTACCTGACTTGCAATCAGCCTACTCGTGGACCTATAATAGGTATTGTACCATGCCGGCGTCGAAGCTCGGATGTCACGGCCTTCGATTTATGTTTTTGGGGAAGATATTGAAAATTAAATATCTGACCACCCCATACAATACGGTGAAAATAATACACGACGCAACTGCTGCGAATGAAAGAAGGTAAATCAGGCAAATAAATTATTAGGTCTTATAAGAAGGTCGTTCAGATATCTAAACGGTTCGTCCCTCATAACGATCTTCAAGAGTGAAGTGCTTCCCCATTTGGAGTACTGTCACCCTGTCTGGTCCCCAAGATATGCTAGGGACTGTCAGTTGATTGAAAATATTCAAAGGAGGGCCACCAGACTGGTGCCTGCACTTTGGCACCTCAGCTACCCTGAGAGATTGGAGAACCTGAACTTGCCTAGCTTATACTACAGATGGGCAAGGGGCGACCTAATTGAGGTGTATAAGCATCTCAAAGGGCACTACTCAGTCGGGTGTCCTTACCTGGAGCTGGCGGACGCTCACCCCACAAGGGATCACAGCTTATGGCTGAAGAAGCCGCAGGTCCAGAAAACTGTGAGGGCAAGCTTTTTCGGAGTTGTGAACTCTTGGAACAATCTGCCAGAAAGTGTCATGACGGCACCGAGTGTGAGCTCTTTCAAGACCAGATTTGACCAACACTGGAGCAGGTTCAAGCACATTCAGGAGCCGGTGTATGTCCAGTACTTGTCAATAGTGTCTAACAGAGACGTGACTGATCGCCCAAGCGACTAACGAAATAATCAGTGGTGAAGAGGATAAAAGTAAAAAAAGTAAAAAGTAAAATCCACTAACTAGTTAGGAGCCACTGCCAAGGACTATTTTCGGATCATATGAAGATCCTCCCCCCCAAACCTACTTGGGGGGGAGGATCTTCATATGATCAAGCCCAGTCGCGCTCATCTGAAGATCCACCCCCCTAACCTAACCTAACCTAACCAAACCTAACCTAACCTAACCTAACCTAACCTAACCTAACCAAACCTAACCTCCCCCCAAACCTACTTGGGGGGAGGACCTTCATATGATCTAGCCTGGGGGGGGGGAGGATCTTCAGTTGGATACTTTGGGGGGGAAGATCTTCATATGATCCCTATTTTCAACTTGAAAGTCTTGTACACAAACACTGCTATTTTTCTCGATAAAAGGGCGGAGTTTGAAACATTTTTCAATGCACATCAACCTGGAGGATTGTGAGTTTAATATAGATGGATGACTATATACGAACCTCTCTCACATAACCTGTAAGAAGGGTGCAGTTAATTCATACCAGAGTGGACATTGGAGCTAGCCAGGTAAGGGTGTAGGGGAATATGTTATTGAAGGTTCGAAAAAGTGTAAAATTATGCTGAGGGGAAGAGACTTACTTATTGTTGGATTTATCTATAGATATCGACTGAAGTGATAAGTAATCAATCCCATCATTTTCAAATGACCCGCCTTGTTGATTTTATTGTTTGTATTATCTTCTAACTAATTTTTTTTTTGTTGAATGACTACGCTTTCCTGTACGATGAAAAAATTAACGCAGGTATAAAAAGCGATACCATGTGCATGCCCAGAGATGTGACCGACCACCCATGCGGCTAACGAGGTGATCGGGGTCAAAAAGGATAACAATAAAAATTAACCGTTGCTAAGAACACTAGTGGTTTGTTTAGACCCAGCCAGCGGGTTGCTATGGGCCTATGACGTCATCAATAACCTAACAACTCTAACATTATTAAACAAAACAGGTTCATTATTAAATATTTCTCATAATACTTTCCATTATAATACCCACTCAAGACTAAGAACAGAAATAAATAGATGTGTTAATTTGTTACGGGTATTAACTGTTTTTGTCACATTCCATCTGAAAAATTAATTCAATAAGCTGGGAGGAAATATTCAGTGGGATAGGTGGCCGACTGTAAATAATCCCCTAAGCCATAATTAATGATTTTTGTCACCTCCAATACTTAGTGGTAACAAAAATACATATAATATAATCTAATTAACCTAAAAGATTTTAAATTAAACCAAAAATATCAGTAAATATGATAGACAACATAACAATAATCTTCATAAACTAGACATTCTTACCTTATATCGATATACCATTAATCACTATAAAATTATCAAAGTATCTATGAAATATACAAAAGACAAATACATAGAAGTGAATAAAGGAATAAATAAGGCAGAGAGAGAGAACACCGGCCACCGTTCCCACTGAAAATACACACAAGTAATATTAGCCAAGAGTCAGCCATTTTGGAGCGGTCTGAGATTCGTCTTCCTCCTCAGTACAGTCAAAATGAACGCCTTACAGTCGTATTCAAGTGATGACGAATCAGGGAATGAAGCACCAATGCATAAGGTAAGAAAAGAAAGAATCGTTTTATATTTATCTATTATATAAGTAAGTAAAGACAATGATTTATTTCACGTCTTTTATCACCAACTCCAATGGACATCATGTTAAGTCTTAATATACGGTATTTATTTAAGGTAATTGGTTAATGTTTAAGTTATAACGGATAATAGTAGAGGATACTGGTTTTGTTTATGCTTTTGGTCTTGTTTGGAAATTGGTAACTGTAGCTGTCAGTTTACTTTGGATTCAAGTCACTTTTGCAAACCTTTTTACTTTTCTCACTTAACCAGAATATATTGTGTACAGTAACAGTTTACAACAAAGCCCTGTAAGAAAGAAAGGTAATTATATAGGACTAACCCGTGAGCGATATTGATTGAAAACACACCAGATTTTCATTGTTATGTTATAGTGGACACTTGTAGTTTGTGGAAATATGTTAAAAAATCGATCTTTTTAAAATAAACGCTACTTAACATTTGTGGGTATGAAGAACAGGGTTAGGGTCATCTCGTACCCAAGACAACTCGTACCCATGACAACTCGTACCCATGACAACTTGTAGCCAAGATGAATCGTACCCAAAAAAGTCAACTTGTACCCAACTCACGAGATAAGTCGTACCCAAGATTACTTGCACCCAATTCAAGATATAATCCATACCTATTAATATACAGCATATACCATGCATTTTAACTTTATCTATGATTACAAAAAAAGATTATGTAAATCTTGTAGGAAAGTGCAGTGAAATAGGGAAATGTAATGCAGGCTTTAAAATGGTTGCATCTCATTACACAAGTATGTTATTCCGTCACACAAACATTGCACTACAAGTACATATTTCACACTACTATGTGGTTTAGAATAACTTTATTGCAATTTACAGATTTCAGGCTAATAGATTTGGCAGTTTCAATTTATAAACTGGGCGATGTAAATGTTTAAAATGGTGATAAGCCAACAAAATAGACATGCATAAAAACAGACTGATTTTCCAGCTTTTTGTAAACATGTCAGTTAGTATACAGTATATAATTCGGCGCTCCTTTCTGGTACTTCTTCCGGTATAACGAACTTGTTCTACGGAGTGGCTGACATCGTCAGGAATTTCTTCTTCTGACATGTCAACGTCAAGAATGAAATACAGTAGTAATAAGGATATAAAAGAACGAAGAGTGAGAATATTGGCCAACACATATACAATTAGTTATGTTATTGTATGTTAATGATACTCTGGATAGATCTGTTTACACAGTCATGAAACTCACGGGCATGAAACGCGTTGCGAATATCGAAATTGTGAATAGCGGAGCAATTTCTCTCATAAAAAATAATGTAAATAGGGGGGATATGGGTGGTCACGGCCGTCAGATTTTAACGCTTATTTATTCAATACATATAGAACATAAAATAAATAAAGAAACAGGGACATTATATCAAATAAACATCAATAACAAACACTTTGATTTTATTAGGTATATGTGTTTACAAGTACAGTATACTTTACATGTTTGAGTGTGTTAGTGTTTGACTGTTTGTGTGCGTAGGTGTGTGAGGTAAGTTTTAAACGTAGACTGTTAATTTATCTCTGATGTGCTGTGTTGCTTGCTTGCTGAAGTTGGCATTAGGGGAGAGGGTGAAGGTTTACTGGGTTGAGAGGAGGCTGGGGTCGTCAGCCACCTCACTCTCCTCACTGCCAGGGTCGTCAGCCACCTCACTCTCCTCACTGCCAGGGTTGTCAGCCACCTCACTCCTCACTGCCAGGGTCGTCAGCCACCTCACTCTCTCACTGCCAGGGTCGTCAGCCACCTCACTCTCATCATCACTGCCAGGGTCGTCAGCCACCTCACTCTCATCATCACTGCCAGGGTCATCAGCCACCTCACTCTCATCATCACTGCCAGGGTCGTCAGCCACCTCACTCTCCTCACTGCCAGGGTCGTCAGCCACCTCACTCTCCTCACTGCCAGGGTCGTCAGCCACCACCTCATCATCACTGCCAGGGTCACCAGCCACCCCACCTCATCATCACCGTCAGGTCGTCAGCCACCACTCTCCTCACCGCCAGGGTCGCCAACCACCCCACCTCATCATCACTGCCAGGGTCGTCAGCCACCCCACCTCATCATCACTGCCAGGTCGTCAGCCACCCCACCTCATCATCACTGCCAGGGTCGTCAGCCACCCCACCTCATCATCACTGCCAGGTCGCCAGCCACCCCACCTCATCATCACTGCCAGGGTCGTCAGCCACCTCACCTCATCATCACTGCCAGGGTCGCCAGCCACCACTCTCATCATCACTGCCAGGTCGCCAGCCACCCCACCTCATCACTGCCAGGTCGTCAGCCACCCCACCTCATCATCACTGCCAGGTCGTCAGCCACCCCACTCCATCATCACTGCCAGGTCACAGCCACCACCTCATCATCACTGCCAGCCAGCCAACCACCTCCCTCACGCCAGGTCGCCAGCCACCCCACCTCATCATCACGCCGCCAGGTCGCCAGCCACCCCACTCTCATCATCACTGCCAGGGTCGTGAGCCACCTCACTCCCGTCACTGCCAGGGTCATGAGCCACCTCACTCCCGTCACTGCCAGGGTCATGAGCCACCTCACTCCCGTCACTGCCAGGGTCATGAGCCACCTCACTCTCATCATCACTGCCAGGGTCATGAGCTACCTCCTCTCATCATCACTGCAGGGGTCACCAGGCCACCTCACTCTCATCATCACTGCCAGGGTCATGAGCCACCTCACTCTCATCACATCACTGCCAGGTCATGAGCCACCTCACTCTCATGTCCTGCCAGGGTCTTGAGCCACCTCCTCTCTCATTATCACTGCCAGGGTCGCAGGCCACCTCACTCATTATCCTACCAGGGTCACCAACCACCTCCTCTCATTATCACTACCAGGGTCATCAACCACCTCCTCTCATCATCACTACCGGGGTCTTGAGCCACCTCCTCTCATCATCACTACCAGGGTCACCAGGCCACCTCCTCGATATCACTACCAGGGTCATCCAGCCACCTCACTCTCATCACTGCCAGGGTCATAGGCACCTCTCATCATCACTACCCGGGGTCATGAGCCACCCTCCTCTCATTATCACTACCAGGGTCATGAGCCACCTCCTTTCTCATTATCACTACCAGGGGTCGTCAACCAACTCACTCTCATCATCACTGCCAGGGTCGTCAGCCACCTCACTCTTCTCACTGCCAGGGTCGTCGAACACCTCATTCTCATCATCACTGCCAGGGTCGTCAGCCACCTCACTCTCATCATCACTGCCAGGGTCATCAGCCACCTCACTCTCATCATCACTGCCAGAGTCGTCAGCCACCTCACTCTCATCATCACTGCCAGGGTCGTCAGCCACCTCACTCTCATCATCACTGCCAGGGTCGTCAGCCACCTCACTCTCATTATCACTGCCAGGGTCGTCGAACACCTCATTCTCATCATCACTGCCAGGGTCGTCAGCCACCTCACTCTCATCATCACTGCCAGGGTCATCAGCCACCTCACTCTCATCATCACTGCCAGAGTCGTCAGCCACCTCACTCTCATCATCACTGCCAGGGTCGTCAGCCACCTCACTCTCATCATCACTGCCAGGGTCGTCAGCCACCTCACTCTCATTATCGCTGTCAATTTGCACTGAAGGCTGTTGTTCTCCACTGGTTGAAGGCTGTGGTTCACTTGTTGAAGGCTGTGGTTCACTTGTTGAAGGCTGTGGTTCACTGGTTGAAGGCTGTGGTTCACTTGTTGCTCCCACCACATAAGTGGCATGGGCAATCCCCAATGGAAGGTTCACGGCGTCATCAGCTTTGTGTGAAATATAACATAGTCAAGGATTGCTTCTTGTGTCCTTGTGGCATCAGCTGATCGGCTAGTCTGCCAATACAGTAATTTGGCTCTATGTTTACATTCGTTTCCAGTGAAGTAAATATCAAGAAAGTTGGTCTCTTGAATATTTCTGCATTTTTACATTAAAATTATTGGTCATTCTGAAATTTAGTTAACATATTGATAATATACAGTGCAGAAATTATTATGAAAAATGAAGAAGGCATTAGAACCAATGCACTCTGTAAAGAATATGGCATATCATCATTGACTGCTCATTTCTCCGTCATCAGTTAGCTCGCCGGTATTGGTCCTATCTTGTCTCGTGTTTTAGTTTGATACATTTGAAAGAATCCCTTGGGGTTTAACTTTGCCTCCTTTGCTACCTTCAGTTCATTATTCCTCTTTGCTTTTCTTATCTCGGTCTTAACCCTACTGGCCAATACCTTATAATCATCTCGAAGGTAAACTTCACGATTTATTCTCCTTTCTTTGACCAATAATATTTTTTAAATAATTAATTATTTATTCATTTGGGGTCGTTGTTATTTGATCCGAGTTTTCTGTTTAGTATGTTATGCATTTGTGCATTAAGTAACTCATTATTTAAATTGTTGTGGAACTCGTCAACCTCAGATCTCGTGATCAGGTCATCCTCAACTGTCATATTTTGTGAGGGTGTCATTGTCAGGTCTCCAGGTAAAGTGATCTTAATTGTGAACTAAATAGATAATAGAAATTTATATATATAAAAGAAAAAAGATCACCACTTCCACATATGTACAGTAGCTAAAACAACTATCTGTGCAGGCGGGGGTTGATATGCTCCGAAATTTTACGTGTGACTAGTGACAGCCCTCATATACCAAAATTTATCATCCATGCTCTCATATTGTTTCCCACAAAGTATGCACAGATAGTTATTTTAGCTACTGTACATTAATATATTAATAAGATAGAAGGAAAAGATAAATACTAACAAATCATTATCCCACCTTGTAATCTCTGCTGCTTTTTATCATTGAACTTTTATCATTCGTGCAAAAATGTGTAAACTTTTACTTTTTAGTCTGAGTTCGTTAACCTAAGTGGTGCGAGTTGGTTATCTGAGATGGTCCGAGTTGGTTATCTGAGATGGTCCGAGTTGGGCTGTAACCGACTGAGCTCTCGGGATTCACTCATTCACACTCTTCGTATTTTAATGAAACAAAAGAAACATATAACAAATGTCAAACTCATTCCTGAACCTCTGGTCAGTTACTTGTTTGAAGTGTGCAAGGTGGACAGAATTAGTAATGTGTGGGCCGAGTTGGTTAGTAAAGATGGGCTGAGTTGGCTAACTGGGTGGGTCGAGTTGGTTATTTAAGATGGGCCGATTTGGAGGCACACCGTAGATTGTAGTGTATAGGGTTCTGTGGTTGTCCTCTGCTGAATCTTTAACGATGTTCTCATTATCCAGTACTTGGCTGGTTATTTATGTGTATAAATATAAGCAAGTACTTGTACTGTACTGTAAAGATAAAATTAATGAAAATAGCTTATAAAAGGACTTTCAGGACTGAGTTGGACTCTTACTCCTTGATTGTTTTGATTTTGTCTATACAATACTGTACTATACTGCACTGTACTGTACAGTACAGTACAGTACAGTACACTACAGTACAGTACAGTACAGTAGTTGGATTACCACACAATACAATATATAAGATTAAACTATTGTACACTACATTGTTGTGATGAAAGCTTTTGTAATGCTGGAATTTCCACTACTTTCAATTGTCAGTTTTCCCATTTTCAGACCCGCAAAAATGCTGATCCAGGCACTAACTACGACGAAGTTGGAATGGATATAAGTGAGGTAGGATACTGCAGGTTTGAACCCCTTACTCAACTGTATTTCCTTTATTTTACCTGTAACATCATGGAGTTTTTATATTCTTTTTCTTTATGTTTGCTTGTGAAGCACTATTTACATGGAAGAACTGATGTATTCTACCATTTATTGAGCATTTATAGATAGGTTCAATATATGAGCTTTACTTATTGTCATGAAGACCTTCCTGATAGTCATCTTTCACCCCCGACTTGGAAGTTGTTTGATAGGTTGACTAAGTGGAATGGTGAGAGCTATAAACAGTGCAGGCCATGACACATTTATTAGGCTATTTATGTAAATATTACTCGAGCTTTTTGACTGCATGATTAAACCAAGATGAAGCCACAAGAGCTGCTACAAAAATAACAGCAAGCACTATAATGAAGTCTCTGAATTTCGTTTGATATTAACACGTTCTGTTGATATACTATACACAAGTCGGTGGAGACTTCTGCGACTTTAGGGAACGTTGGTTGGTTGGAGCTCAACACCTGGTAGCTGGAAGACCCTCTAAACCTTGTAAAGATGAGGTGTAAGCTCAAATGTGAGCACAGGTGAGTAGCGTAAGTACTTTTGAATTAAGGAATAACATTAAGATTGAAGCTTACTGTAGTTCTTGTGGAGCACTTTACTTATGAAGGGATCATCAGGATTTCTAAATGTATATGAATGTGTCTTTGGTGTTTGCTGTGATGGGAAGACGAGCAAGGGTTTTTACTATTGTGAATATATTTACAAGTCCAAGTTCAAAGTTCATGTCAGTGTAAACTTCGGGAGTACAGTACCCGGTATTATTATTTTTTTTATTCATATCAGCTTGACTTCATCATTTTTAGTGTGTTAATTTTGACCGTGTGACTTGAAGATATTGTAAAGGTAAACAAAAGAATGTGCAGATAGTAGCAGTGCTGGTCTTCTGCCTTATTTTTAATAGTGAAAACTTCTCTTCTGGTAATGGAGATGAAATCTATTATATTTCTAGATGGGTATTATAGCCTGTTTCGGTGTGGGTGATGCCTTGTTGCTCTGCTCTTTGTAAATATATCAGCAATTATGAGTACTGTACTGGACTGTCATTAGCAATTACATGTAAAGAAAATGACACCTCTGAACTTGGATATTCTGGGGCTTCATTTTAAACTCCAAAGTTCACCTTCATTTTGTTGGTATGATTCTATTTTTGTACGGTAATTAGGATTATTGTGGCGTATAACAGTCTTATCAATACCAGTTGTTCTTCGTACACAGCGTTAGCTCGGCAAGCATTTTGCCTAGACTGGAAAATAATGATATTTATATTTCCCTCAATACAGTACCTTTAAGAGAGGGCCTCCTTCAACAAAAAGTGACTAAATTGATGTTAGCAAATGTTGTCTCAGGTAGCCACATTAACCTAAATTTATAGGTGGATTATTTTTTTATGGTACTGTACAGTGAGGAGCACGGCGGTCGAGTGGATACAGCACTCGCCTCCTGTTCCAAGGGTCAGTGGCTCAATTCCTGGGCCCTTCCAGTTCACCCAGCTGTAAATGGGTACCTAAGTGAAGGAGGTCGAGCGCAGTACCGGTCATGCTGCCTCGTTGTGTACCAAAGACTTGGTATACAATGTGCTGTATCCACACTGTCCCTGAGGAGCAGTTCTGTCTATAGGATCCACTTTTCACTGTACAGTATGTACCTTTAAATTCATCTCATGAATTGGTGTATTAAAAACAGACATGGTAAAGTTGTTTACTTAAAGTCTTGCAAAGTTTATGTAGTATATGATTTTTATCCACAACTTTATAAAAAATTGAGAGTTGTAACCACTTCATAGTACAGCGAGCTGAAAAAGTAATTTATGTATTTTATGCATTTGTGATTTGTCATGTAGTATTTCATTGAGCAGAATTAGTAGACAACAAAATGATTGCCACTTCAGATAATGTAGGATGTGGAGGTTTCTCTTGAAATGTGATGTGTATGTGTACGGTACTATGTATTAGTTTATTTATAGTTCAGTATAATCATTCAGCCACTATTAAAGAGGGCAGCATACACAAAACCTGCTCCTTACACAATAATCTTCACATAATATTGTAGTTGATTCCACCCACCAAATACCTGTCTTACAGACAAAATTGCTTTGTTTTTATTCTCATGTTTCACCATCCCAGAATTCTACCCTCTTCATATCTTGTGTAGTTTATCTGATCTAGTTTTTCTGTCCTCTCTTTTATTCTCAGTTACTGTGAAGATATACTATATTTTTCGGCTTAGAAGACGCTGTATCGTGGAAGACGCACCCTGATTTTGGAAATGTAATTCTAGGAAAAATCTTTTTATACTTACTAACTGACACCAGTGAAACCGTTGCTTGATATACAGCCCTTTTGGCACAAGTACACACACCTCTCTGAATATCATCACTTAGAACTGCTTATCAGTCATCATTTTCATAAATTTAAAAGAAAAAAATCTGTATAAGAAGTGGAAATCTTTAATACAGTTCTCATTTTCTACACCTGGTCACCTCCGCGCCTAGCGGGCTGTAGTGTTTACATTCTTTCTCTTGTTTTTGTCGGTATGACAATGACGGGAAATATTTTCCAACAGTAGAAGGTAAGCAAATGTAAACATGTATATCAACGTCTAAATAAAACAAAATCTTTATTTAAAAAAAAAGTGAAAAAGCATCTACAGTAGGTAAAAATCAGTTGAATTAAAATTTTTGGTAAGCAAACAATAAAATCACAAAAAACTGTAAATCTCTAACTATCATGTCCAGTAAAACAGTCAAAAGCATTATATTCATCTTCAAATCCTGAGAACTCATCGCTGTTGGATTCATCACCAAGCTCTGAATCATCACAGGAGGAAATATCATCATCACTACTGTCTTCAGTGCCATCCATAGCATTACTGATACCACATTTTTTGAAAGACTTAACGATAACCTTAGTTTTAATATCACACCATGACTTCAGCACTCATTCACACACTTCAGATATTGATGGATGTTTCATCCTTCCAGTCGGCGTCATATCATGATTCCCCTCTGTCATCCATTTATTCCATTGCTCCCTCATGTTATTCTTAAAGGACTTATTAATGCTGACATCTAGCGGCTGTAACTGGGAAGTAAGGCCACCAGGAATTACTGCCAGCTGTGTGTTGAGCCCCTTTGCTAGCCTTTTGGTGTTTTCAGTCCTGTGAGCACTAAACTGATTCCATACTAGCAGTGAATTCTTTTGTAGCAGGCCAACAGGACGCTTGGACCACACTTTATCCAACCATACCTTGACACCTTCATCCATCCATCCCTTGGGTTGTACAATGACTTGAATTCCATTTGGCAGTTTTTCCTTTGGTAATGTTTTTCTCTTGAAAATTAAGAGGCAGTAGTTTGGTCCCGTCGGCACAACAAGCTAAAACTACCGTGTAGTGAGTCTTTTCGTGTCCAGGTGTTTTAATAATCACCGATTTCATCCCTTTTACAGTTACACTTTTATTAGATGGCACATCAAAATTCAAAAAGGTACTTCATCCATATTCCCAATTTGACTGAGTTCGGGACAACTCTGTTTTCTAACATTAATGATAAATTTATGGAAATCTAATATTTTCTCTTCGTATTCTGCTGGCATTTTCTGAGCTAACTTTGTACTTGTTCGCAAACTTAAGCCATTTCGTTTCATGAAGCGAAAACACCAACAAGCAGTTCCTTTGAAGTCATCCACCCCTGTGTTTGCTGCAAACCTTCTTGCTTCCAAAATGATCATCTTTGTCGTCACTGCCAAACCCAAGTTTCTTTGGTCCAGTATCCATGTTTTCAAGTTTTCTTCTAAGTAAGGCCATTTTGCTGGTACTGTATGAAGATTATGCTTCTGTTTATTCGCCTTTTTTAATTCTTCCTGCTTCCTCTACTGGCGAATCATCTTCTCAGTAGGTGGTGGTCCGAAGTTTCTCTGTTGCCCCGTTTCCATGTTCTTTGGCATATCGCACTACTTCAAGTTTAAATGCGATATTATATTTATGTCTCCTTGATACACCTGCCATAGGTGAGGGAGATAATTTGCAGGAATGAAAATGGCTTGTGACACCAGTGAAGGCCTGGTAGTGAATGAACAAAGTTCTAGACACTGAAGTTTGAAGAAACAAACATTCCTACCCTTTGAGACCAGCAGACAACCTTTAGCAATTCCTCAATAGTTGGCGGTGCCGCACCACTGCCATTAGTAAACAAACCGCGCAGCAGCAAGGGTTGTGTAGCTGCAGCCATCTATTTGTTATTTTATACCTACGGAGTAAGTAAATAATCGTATTTTTCACAGTATGTCAACAATATTAGTTAAATCAATTGTTTTATAGTACTGTATAGAGAGTACTTGTAATTGCTAAGTACTGTAATGAGGTAACAGTCTTTGTAAGGGGCTGATTTCAGTTTACCCTAAGAAAACCTCTGCTACAACTCATCAACTAGTGCCGTGGAGCATGGTAATTTTCAAGGTATATTTTTTTAATAAAGAGTGCGTCTTCCGAGTCTAAAAATACAGTACTTAAATCTCATATATGGGGTGTGTCCGAGTTCATTTGATAGCAATTTATACCTCCACCTAAAGAGACATGGATTCAGTTTCATGGTCTGACAGGGTTGATGGGATGTTAACGTATATGTTACCTGAGATGAAATGCTCCCTTCTTGCTTTGGGGTTACCATCTAACACACTATAGGAAACAGCATCATTCAGTGGCCACTTCTTGTTCATTCCGATCCATTTTTGAGGATTTGGGAGTGGAGTAGAGAATCTAAGATTCAGGTGGTCAAGATCACACAGTGTGACAGTTGAATAGTTTTCATTGGGGCCAACACTGGCTTTGAAGTTTTGGCAGTTTTCCTGTCACTCATCGTATATCAAGTTTCATATCACCTTTCTTCATAAAATTAATACTGTACCCAGATGGGTGCCCATCTTTTTTCCATACACTTTATTTTATGCTTCAACCTCCTTTCTGAATCACAGTTGTTGTATGCTTCTATACATTTAGATTTCATTTCCTGCTTTGAATATCTATATTAAGACATTGAACCTTGTTTGGGCAGTTCTATCATTATTGTACTATCCACTGTTAACACTATCCTTTATTAATTTTCCACTTTATTTAACATTACACAGTTTCCTTCATAGCATGATGTACGCTACAATAATATGAAATTTAATTACTGTATCCATGATGACATTACTCACCCTTATCATGTCTCCCACTTAGTGAGACAATGTTGTTTTACCAAGGATTATTTATTCTATCCAAATCTTTAAATGTTTTGCTCTGTAGTAGCAGTGGTGGCCACATGTTAGAATCTCTTAACAAGCATATCAACCACAGACTCTACTCACATACATTACGGTAAACTCACTGATGCAAATATTTTAGAATAGTAATATTGTAGTTCTACATACGTACTTGCTTGAATAATTGAAAGGTTCCACTCGCTTGCCCCCAGGCAGCAAAATGTGTGAAAAAGATAAGGGCTATCTCAGGAAGCATACAGGAACAGGAAATGAGACAGGAA